CAATAGTTCTCAAGTGTAGCATGTTATAACTGTTATATGTCTGCTCTGACTAATAGTCCCCTAGTGCAGTATGTTATAACGTGTATATGATGTCTGCTCTGCCCAATAGTCCCCTAGTGCAGTGCATGTTATAACTGCTATATGTTTACTCTGACCAATAGTCCCCTAGTGTCTGCATGTTACTATATGTCTGCTCTGCCCAATAGTCCTCAAGTGTAGCATGTTATAACTGCTATATGATGTCTGCTCTGCCCAATAGTCCTCTAGTGCAGCATGTTATAACTGCTATATGATGTCTGCTCTGCCCAATAGTCCTCTAGTGCAGTATGTTATAACTGCTATATGATGTCTGCTCTGCCCAATAGTCCTCTAGTGCAGTATGTTATAACTGCTATATGAGTTCTGCTCTGCCCAATAGTCCTCTAGTGCAGTATGTTATAACTGCTATATGATGTCTGCTCTGCCCAATAGTCCCCTCTAGTGCAGCATGTTATAACTGCTATATGATGTCTGCTCTGCCCAATAGTCCTCTAGTGCAGTATGTTATAACTGCTATATGAGTTCTGCTCTGTCCAATAGTCCTCTAGTGCAGTATGTTATAACTGCTATATGAGTTCTGCTCTGCCCAATAGTCCTCTAGTGCAGCATGTTATAACTGCTATATGAGTTCTGCTCTGCCCAATAGTCCTCTAGTGCAGTATGTTATAACTGCTATATGAGTTCTGCTCTGCCCAATAGTCCTCTAGTGCAGTATGTTATAACTGCTATATGAGTTCTGCTCTGCCCAATAGTCCTCTAGTGCAGTATGTTATAACTGCTATATGATGTCTGCTCTGCCCAATAGTCCTCTAGTGCAGTATGTTATAACTGCTATATGATGTCTGCTCTGCCCAATATTCCTCTAGTGCAGTATGTTATAACTGCTATATGATGTCTGCTCTGCCCAATAGTCCTCTAGTGCAGTATGTTATAACTGCTATATGATGTCTGCTCTGCCCAATAGTCCTCTAGTGCAGTATGTTATAACTGCTATATGAGTTCTGCTCTGTCCAATAGTCCTCTAGTGTGCAGTATGTTATAACTGCTATATGATGTCTGCTCTGCCCAATAGTCCTCTAGTGCAGTATGTTATAACTGCTATATGATGTCTGCTCTGCCCAATAGTCCTCTAGTGCAGTATGTTATAACTGCTATATGATGTCTGCTCTGCCCAATAGTCCTCTAGTGCAGTATGTTATAACTGCTATATGAGTTCTGCTCTGCCCAATACTCCTCTAGTGCAGTATGTTATAACTGCTATATGAGTTCTTCTGTCCAATAGTCCTCTAGTGCAGTATGTTATAACTGCTATATGAGTTCTGCTCTGCCCAATAGTCCTCTAGTGCAGTATGTTATAACTGCTATATGATGTCTGCTCTGCCCAATAGTCCTCTAGTGCAGTATGTTATAACTGCTATATGATGTCTGCTCTGCCCAATAGTCCTCTAGTGCAGTATGTTATAACTGCTATATGATGTCTGCTCTGCCCAATAGTCCTCTAGTGTAGCATGTTATAACTGCTATATGATGTCTGCTCTGCCCAATAGTCCTCTAGTGCAGTATGTTATAACTGCTATATGATGTCTGCTCTGCCCAATAGTCCTCTAGTGCAGTATGTTATAACTGCTATATACGATGTCTGCTCTGCCCAATAGTCCTCTAGTGCAGTATGTTATAACTGCTATATGATGTCTGCTCTGCCCAATAGTCCTCTAGTGTAGCATGTATGTTATAACTGCTATATGATGTCTGCTCTGCCCAATAGTCCTCTAGTGCAGTATGTTATAACTGCTATATGATGTCTGCTCTGCCCAATAGTCCTCTAGTGCAGCATGTTATAACTGCTATATGATGGCTGCTCTGCCCAATAGTCCTCTAGTGCAGTATGTTATAACTGTTTACCATATGTTCTCACAATAGCCCAAATGTGCCAAGAGTTACCAGGAGGTGAGTGTTCTCCGACACTGACTCACTCACTCACTCCACCAGGTCACAGATCAGCACAAGGGCACGCGTACTCACATGACTGCATCACATAAATATTTATAGCAGAATATACTTAAAAAATACATATTTACCTGTCCCAAATCAGTATTCAACTACATATCAACCCAATCTGTGCCACTCGACTATATAACTCGCGTTAAAGGAAGTCATCGAATGGAACCCAAAGGTTGGAATACGCTGTAACACGTGACCTAAACAAGTCACAAATCAATCTTTTGCAATCATCACGCCATTAGTGTTATAGCTACCACGTGTTCCTACGTACATCTTGTAGCTTCTTCAGAAGAAAAACCCAGTGATGATGAAAATAGCGGTATAGTGAAAGCCTATTTTTGGAATGAACATTAGATGACTGCTTTAATGCAACAGTTGTGGTAGAAGATTGGCATAAAGGGGAACATGTACAGTTTGTAATCAAACACTTCACAACAAGCACGACACTGACTAAAACAAAATAAACATCTAAACAAGATTGTCACAATGATTGTGGTGACGTGGTGTCAACAAAGGTTCTAACTCGGGTCAAGTTCAGAGTATATTGTGTAATGTATCAAGTCAATCAGACTTAATCCCTTTAAAGATAAGTTCACGTGTGGGGTTAGGGCAACCTTAGCGCTAAAGCCGCTTTGTGCAAGCGGGCCCATCCGTGTTCGGTTAGGCAGAAACTGGACGGGACAGATCCATGGGACACAGTCAGCACTGGTTTCACGCACTGCGTTGCAACACTGATCTAATGCCCTCAAAGTTTGTTTTTTAAAACGATAAAAACAATCAGTTAAAGGCCACAACAAATACGTTATTTGTTTTTCAGAATTTGTCAATTCAAACCACATGAACGAAAACCAGGGGTATAGCTACCACTATAAAAAAAGCCCGGGCTTACACATGATTGTTTCTAAAAAGGTTGGGCAAGCCCTCAATACTATCTAAATTTAAAGCTTTTCAACCATTCGGGCTTCTTACACGAAACAACTGGCTTGCAACGCGCCTGAAAACAGGGCCTTCACCTTATGTAGAAATACACCAGTTCGTGATTTTTTGGTTAGTTTCATCAGTTATATAAATTAAATAACCTGCCTTATTTATTGTCAACATCTATTTGTATTGTACACGAATGACACTCAGATGAAAGGGTTTTACCATCGGTCTTACGCCGACTTATTATTAAATAGAAAAATATTCCAATGAACAAACAATGAATTTTGTTGTGGCCTTTCGACCCTATTCGAACATCTGGGGCTCCTTTCACGAAGCAACCTTTACTAAGGTTAACCTTAACTCCCAGTCTTTAACATTGCACTAGGGTTACCTTAGTGACTTACGATCACCTTAGTGCTTTGTGAAAGGACCCCCAGGTATGTTAGACACCGTAGAGTAGTTGCATGCGATGTAGGTGTTGTGTCATGTCTAGAGTAGTTGACGCCGCAGTAGTTAGTTGATGTTCATGAACTTTTGATAGTCTTAATGTTAGTTGATGTTCATGAACTGAATTAGAAGCATCGTAAGATATTTTGATAGTCATTAACACGAATGTCAGAATTAGAATCCTTGATATTCATGAACTGTAATGTTAGAATAACCATCCTTGAAATACATGAACTGTAATGCCAGGATTAACAGCCTAGATATTCATGAAATGTAATATAAGAATTAGCAACCAAGATATTCATGAATTGTAAAGTCTGAAATATCAGCCTAGATATTCACGAACTGTAATGTTGGAATTGACATCCTTGATATTCATGAACTGTTAGAATTGACAGCCAAGATATTCATGACTGTAATACCAGAGAAAGGATTCCATAATGGTGGATTGTATAATTTCAGAACCAACATATATTCATGAACTGTAATGTGAGAATAACACCACGGTCTAAAGAGACGCAGTGGGTGATGGCATGGGATGCTTAATTGTTAGTTATGTACATACGATATGTACATTGGAACACGGATAGCGTAAATATATATCTTACGAAGATTGTCTAAGGTACATGAGTTTAGTAGTGAATATGGAAAGATTTTATATAGTTGTTTGAAGGGCAGATAACAATAAAATGTTAAACATTTGCTTTGTTGGAAATTCGGAAGATTTGCTTGGTACAATTTCGGCGTTCGGGCCGAAATAATTGCATGTTAGAGAACAAAAGTTTCTTCAATTTAATTATGCTTACATAATTTTCAGATTTGGTTCCATTTCATGACCATTAGATTCGAATGAAATGCGACATTACATTTTATCTGCTTGCTGTTTTGTACGACCAATGACATCCTCGCTAGCCCAGGGTATTTTCTCCAAATTAGCCGCTCAATAAAATTTGGTGGGTTTGTGTTTGTTGTTTAAGTCACACTCAGCAATACTCAAAATCATGTCCGCCTGTAAATATATCTACGTAAATGGATGCAATTACATTCAAGAGGCAGGTGCGCAAATCTGACCACCAGGGTTGCTGAAGACCCGAAATCTTAACTGGACCTAATCCGCTTACACCAAGGCGAAAGCAATGCTGCACGGGAGAGATGAATGATGACGTCACTTCCTGAACGGAGCTGGACCCTTTCAATACCGTACCTTCTCGCAGAACCCCTCCTAATAGATGCCCTTTTAAAGAGCTCTATGTCACGTTCGCTTTCTTGGTTGATGCATGTCATCTTATCCGAATTGCGTAGATCGAAGCTCACCGAATTGCCTGGTTCATCTCGCTGTCATATAGATGGAGGATTGCTGAGTACGGCGTTAAAAACAACAAGCAAACAAACAAAAGACCTCTCGTTAGAGGAAGACATAGGAGAGAGAGGTACTGACGTCACTTTCAAAACGGATTTGGGTGTCGAATGGGTCCAAAGTATGTATATAATTGCAATGTAGAAATAATACCCCTGGTTATCGAGGATGTTTTGTACACATACAGTCAGTTATGTAGATTTTACACACGCTTATGACATTTTTATTTCAGGAGGCCTGGATCCCGAAAAAGCATCCAAAGATTTTGTGGTGGAAGTTCTTAAAGTAGGTGCATGAACACTCGGGTGAATTGCCCCAGGCACTTATCGGCAAACACCTATATCTAATCTAATATACGTAAAGAGACTTATGTTCATAAAAAACTGCAGGTAAAAAAGTACACACCCATGTTTGGGTTATCTAAAATGAAACAAGCAAAAAATGGTTATCTGATACAGGTATCATAGATGACCTTATTGTTTCAAGGTATCTGCGGCTGTTTACACTATCAACAATTTGATATTTTTTCCTATTGTTTTTAAATATTGTCCATGTGTATACTTTATATGGATCCCCATGAAATTTGGGGATGCTACACATTTTTACTTTCGGAAATTTTTATATGTCTAGTTGATATTCGGAAAGTTAATTCAAAACCACCAAAAGCAAACTAATTTTGGTATGTAGTTTCAAAAAGTAATACACCATTGACGATTACCAATTCATTCTCCAGAACTATCCGCTGTCGGATTTAGTTACTATGGCCCCTTTCAGAAAGTAATATTATCACTACGGTCGCTCCATTGCCGTAGGGGCGGTTGGGTAGCCTAGTGGTTAAGGCGTTCGATCGTCACGCCGAAAACCCGGGTTCGATTCCCCACATGGGCACAATGTGTTAAGTCCATTTCTGGTGTCCCCCGCCGTGATATTGCTGGAATATTGCTAAAAGCGGCGTAAAACTAAACTCACTCACTCCATTGCCGTAACTTCCAGGCAACTGTAATAGAGACATGGCAAGGTCCAAACACATACTCTTCTACTATTCTGATGTTTCGTTATCAGCACAACACCCGAGTTGTTGGATTTATGGGACTTTCTACTATTAAAAAAATGATACCCTGATCAAAAAAATAATACTTTTTGAATCGGCGTTAATCAGACGTCATTCACTCATTACACACGTTGTACATATACAATGTATGTATGCCAAGTTTTTATTAATAACGAGACAATTTATATATTTTGACAGAAAATCGGCAAGCAGCCAAATTTGACAGAAGAGGATGAAGCGCGTATTGTCGCGGCCTATGTCTCCAAGAACACGTCTCACCGCCAGGGTTGGTACAGGATGAACGCCATTAGGAACCTCACAGGGGGGCCCCGCCTCGTTCCAACAACCAATGAGAGGCAAGACAAGGTGAGGGAGCGGTCATTGTTCAAATCCCACATACATTATCTCTTGCTCTTTACAAAATGTTGAAATGAGGTAGACGTCATTGTTCAAAGCAGTCACGCAGCCCACGAGAGCGCTAATGCAGGTGAGATACATTTAGCGCACGTCATCTATTGCTAAAGGTTCTGAATATATCATAATCCAATAATGCATTAATGCATCTCCTCATTGTTCATGAGTAAACTGTTTCTGTCAAACCTCATTGTACATGATTAAACCGTTACTAACATACTTCATTGTTCATGAGAACCATTTCTGAAATACGTCATTGGTCATTAGTAACCATTTCTGAAATACGTCATTGGTCATTAGTAACCATTCCTGAAATACATCATTGGTCATTAGTAACCATTCCTGAAATACGTCATTGGTCATTAGTAACCATTTCTGAAATATGTCATTGGTCATAAGTAACCATTTCTGAAATACGTCATTGGTCATTAGTAACCATTCCTGAAATACGTCATTGGTCATTAGTAACCATTCCTGAAATACGTCATTGGTCATTAGTAACCATTTCTGAAATACGTCATTGGTCATTAGTAACCATTTCTGAAATACGTCATTGGTCATTAGTAACCATTCCTGAAATACGTCATTGGTCATTAGTAACCATTTCTGAAATACGTCATTGGTCATTAGTAACCATTTCTGAAATACGTCATTGGTCATTAGTAACCATTTCTGAAATACGTCATTGGTCATTAGTAACCATTTCTGAAATACGTCATTGGTCATTAGTAACCATTCCTGAAATACGTCATTGGTCATTAGTAACCATTTCTGAAATATGTCATTGGTCATAAGTAACCATTTCTGAAATACGTCATTGGTCATTAGTAACCATTCCTGAAATACGTCATTGGTCATTAGTAACCATTCCTGAAATACGTCATTGGTCATTAGTAACCATTTCTGAAATACGTCATTGGTCATTAGTAACCATTCCTGAAATACGTCATTGGTCATTAGTAACCATTCCTGAAATACGTCATTGGTCATTAGTAACCATTTCTGAAATACGTCATTGGTCATTAGTAACCATTTCTGAAATACGTCATTGGTCATTAGTAATCATTTCTGAAATACGTAACTGGTCATTAGTAACCATTTCTGAAATACGTCATTGGACATTAGTAACCATTTCTGAAATACGTCATTGGTCATTAGTAACCATTTCTGAAATACGTCACTGGTCATTAGTAACCATTTCTGAAATACGTAACTGGTCATTAGTAACCATTTCTGAAATACGTCATTGGTCATAAGTAACCAGTTACTATCACACCTCATTGTTCATGAGTAACATATTACTAACATACCTCATGCTCACCATTTTCTGAAGGCCGAACACGTAAGTTTACGCATGCCTCCCATGTCATCCATTAGACGGTAGATGAACTATTAACTATTTATCTCACAATTACATCCGTGGTCCTTCTTCACGGTGAATGAGCTGTATCTACATATGCATGGAAGTAATTTCACATCAACCATACATTCTTAGATTGGGTTTGTTAGCGCATGCGCGACAAACATCAAAATGACTTCAAGCTGACGCAAGGCGACGGCCATGCACTGTTGAGAAGTACGTGTCTGAACTATGGTTATAACGAACTCAAAAGGACCACGAGTTGTAGTTCGTTATGGCCGTAGTTCGTTGTAGGCATATCGACTTAGATAAAGCACAAAAGCCAGTGGCAGTGCCAACTTGGTATTGAGAATGTGCTCACGTATCTCATGGGCGACTAACGGGATCGGGAGGTCAGGCTCGCTGACTTGGTTGACGTCATGGTATCCCAATTGCGTAGATCGATGCTCATGCTGTTGATCACTGGATTGTCTGGTCCAGACTCGATTATTTACAGACCACCGCCATATAGCTGGAATATTGCTGAGTGCGGCGTTAAACAGCAAACAAACAACATCCGTGGGTTGGTGATCAAAGTGGAGTCTAGGGTATATATACTGGGAGATCGAATGTGATAAAATCACCACCATTTCATCACTTTTTGCATGATTACTCTATTTCAAACACGTTGTTCATGCATTCGGTAGTACGTACTATATTCAATCCCAATTTTCGCACTCACATTCAAGTAGTTGATCACCCACGTAGAGATCCAGCATTCATTGTTCTCAGTTAGAGTTACTTCCCTTCACGAAATGATCTTTTTAAAATGGAGCGAGTGAGTGAGTTAAAATTATAAAACGCATCGCCAGTACTGCAGCCATATAGTTTTGACATGGAACAGCACCGCGTAAGGAAAGTGATTTCATAGTCCTTTAGAGTTACTTCCCTTTATGATATGATATGTTTAAAATGGAGACTTAAAATTGTATTTAAGATCGGCAAAACTGCAGCCATATGTCGATGGTTTTGAAAATGGAAAAGTAAGCACTGCTTGAAGATAATGCTATTTTGGCTAAGTCGTTTGGAAAAGATTATCGTTTAGTTTGAAAAAAGATTGTCGTTTACAGTCTGTTTGCAGTTAAAACGTACCGATGAATTTCACTTTAAACAAAAACGTAAATCGAATAAAGTGAAATTATTATTGCGAATCCTCATAGTTTTACCTTGCATTTTAATCAACTTAGGATAAAAGTTGTTTAACAAACGATCATAGTTTCAAATCGCTATTATTGGTTTGTATTACAAGGGGTAATGCACATTAAATGAAACACCGAGGACAAGTAGGGTTGGTCTAAGTCAACGCTCATCACGTACCACACGTGTATTTGTTTCACTGTTCCAACTACTGCGCTTAACCCCCTTGTAATGCAAACCAATAATAGTGATTTGAATCTATGATTGTTTGTCAAACAACTTTTATCCTAAGTTGAATAAACTTCTGAGATTTAAATGTTCAGTTGGCAAGGTAAAATAATGAGGGTTCGCAATCTTAATTTCACTTTATTTGATTTACTTTTCTGTTTAAAGTGAAATTCATCGGTACGTTTTCACCGCAAATAGACTGTAGTTTGCTTCATCGAATGTATTCCAATCAACGATAATGATGGAGATGCCACAGATTTCGCTCTTCTCTCACACATACACTGACACGCAGTGCTGTACCTGAAATACTGTTACGCGGCGTGAAACATAACTCACTCGCTATGATCTTTTCTCCACGTGTCTGAAGATCTTGACCAAGCTGCTGACCGGTGAGGACATTGGGTCAAGTGTGTCCCTTTATGAAGATATCGATGCAGGAGTAACGGCCATAGTGGAGTGGGCTGCATCGTCAACCGCCGTCATGGAGAAAGATGGTCGCGCCAAACTCGCTCTGATGAGGCACGGCAATACTCAAAACAAGGTGTTGATCAGGTGAGTAATTCAATTCAATTCTTTATTGTATGAAAGGCCATAGGCCCATATGCAAAAGAGATACATCTTGACAATGGCATATATAATCAATTTTCTAACTAATCAATTATTTTCTTAACAAAAATGCATTGTAGATAAATAGAGCAACTTTGTGTTGTTTTGGAGGTTCTTTGCAGGAAAGTAAGGAAGACAATAGATTAACGTTGATTTGAGATAAAGACAGTTGCGGTAGATACTTATTTCTTAGATTTTCATATACAGGACAAATAAACATAAAATGGAATTGGTCTTCCATAATGAAACAGAATGGACATAATCTTTGGGTTTTTTCCATAGAAACATATCTTCCACGGTTAATTAATAAATCATTAAAGCCTAATCTAAACCGTTTAAAAGCATTGCGAATATTTCTGTATTGAAGGTGAGCAAGATAACACTCTGTCTCAAGCAACGACTTAAATTGACGATATGAATCATATCTAGAACTTTCATTAATAGTTGAATGCCATTCCTGCTTAAACATATCAATAGCCCGCATACGAAACTGTTTAATAAACATAAAGGACTTAAGATACATCCTTGACGCAGACCGACAGGACAATCGAAAAAAGTCACTTACACCATAGCCACAGCGGACACATGACTTTACATTGGAATACATCGATCTTATGATACCATACATTTTACCTCTCAAACCTATATTTCTTAAGCATTTCTACATTCTACCTCTATCTACAGAATCAAACGCCTTTTTGAAATCTACAAAAGCTACATACAACTTTCGCTTGCTAAAGGATAAATATCTCTCAATAATAGCATACAAGGTAAATATATGATCAAATGTTGAGTAGTCCTTTCTAAATCCAGCTTGAGGTTCCGGTATTAAATCTCTCATATTCGACCATTGTGTTAACCTACTGTTGATAATAGTTGTAAAAGTTTTACCTAGAATACTAGTCAGAGAAATACCCCTATAATTGTCAGGATTTTGTTCATTTCCGTTTTTTATATAACGGGATAATAATAGATTGCGCCCATACGGAAGGAAAACGACCTGTATCAAGTACCAGTGAAGATCTGGGTTAGAATTGATCTTCAGTAACAGCTCACACTGTTGGTCACTGGATTGTCTTGTCCATACTCGATTATTTACAGACCGCCGCCATATAGCTGGAGTATTACTGAGTGTGGCGTAAAACTAAACTCAATCGCGCACTTGATCACGGTGAGCTAAACAGATGCTTCAGCCAAACACATTCATTGTGAGAACGGACCGCCTTCATATAGCTGCAATATCGCCGAGAGTGGCGTTCAGCAACGAACAAACACACATTGTGAGAACGAGTTAAATTCACATGTAAATGAAAGTTTCACAAGAACAAGAAGGTTGTCATTCATTCTGGATCAGAATATTAACCAAGCTTCAGGATAGGGTGTGTCAATGTATTCTTGAAGTCCCGTCGCCTTTGCTGCTCTTGCTATCAGTCACGGGTTTGGTTGACCATGCTTGCTATTTTGACAGGCAATCGAGAGGTTAATCATGCGATATTGCTTTGCCGAATTAAATTGCATGGTAAAAAAAACAATATACCTACTAATGGTCTTCAGCATCTTAGTGAAGTCCATGTCTAGTGCCCCCCAGAGTGGCATTGCTTGAATATTGCTGAAAGCGCCGTAAAACCATACTCACTCACTCACTCACTCAGCATCCTAGTCGTTGATCGTTCAATAATGTCCTCGACGTGCATCTTTCATCGAAATATTGTTCATGTTGCTTAAGACTTAATGGTTCACTAATTGTCCACTCTTTGTCTTGCCTACACCACCAATAGCTGCCACATTGCCGATGCGGCATCATGCAATATTCACTCACTCTGCATTATCTCCCCTGTAGCTGATTCCATGACCCTCTCTTGCAGGGTTGAGACGATTGACGGAACAGCGGAGGCCAATTCCGATTACAAACCGTTCAAGGAGACGATAGTGTTTGAGCCAGGGGTGACCGCAAAACAGATCGACATTGAGATCATCGACGACAACGAGTGGGAGCCGGACGAGGTGTTCTTTGTGAGACTGACGGCAGAGCCCGAGCAACAGGCCCGGATTGGGAAGAGGTCGGTCACGCAGATCACCATCCTGAACGACGACGGTGAGTTCAGCCACGTGTGTGAGTGAGTGAGTTTACTTTTACGCCGCACTCAGCAATATTCCAGCTATATGGCGGCGGTCTGTAAATAATCGAGTCTGGACCAGACAATCCAGTGATCAACAACATTACCCTCGATCTACGCAATTGGCATATGTCTCAACCAAGTCAGCGAGCCTGACCTCCTGATCCCGTTAGTCGCCTCTTACGACAAGCATGGGTTGCTGAAGATCAATTCTAACCCGGATATTGCTGGAATATTGCTAAAAGCGGCGTAAAACCATACTCACTCACTATAATTTCTAGTCGATGTGCTTGTAACGAACTAGGCCATGACGAACTAAAATTAATGGACCATTTGAGTTCATTGACTTGGAATACCTTTTTTTGAAAAATATATTTCTCGCTGAATCTCATCAATTGAAATATTGGCTTTTGTGTCATTCAGCTTGGCTAAATGAATGCCACATTTTTTAATTTACGTTTCGTCTCTAGATAGCAGAAAAACTTCGATAGTCTTGTATATTTTACGATCTGACAAAGTCAGGCGCGTTCTGTTATCAAGGAACTATGTGAGTGTAGCATATTGTTTGAGAGCGGGGTAACCTAGTGGTTAAAGTGTCCTCTCGCCACAGGACTGGGGAGTCGTTGAGTCGATCTAGTGGAAACCAGTTTTGGTGCCCCTCGTCGCGAAACAAGAGGAAGATTATAAAATATTTATTTATTAGCTAACAACGTCCAAAACCTCCAACTCACTTACTCCTATTTTTTTTTCACAAAAGCATGTTTTTAATTTAGATCCGGGCGTATTCGGGTTCGGCAAGCCGAGCTTTGTGTTCAAGGAGAGCGCTGGACGCGCGATGATCCCTGTAGAGAGGTCTAACGGAGCGGACGGGAGGGTGGTTGTTGGATGGAAAACAAAGGACATGACCGCCATCAGCAGCAAAGACTACATCGGTGGCAAGGGAGAGATAGAGTTTCACCATGGGGAGACGACCAAGTATATCGAGATCCAGATCATTGACGATCAGGTGGGTGGAGATATTGCATGAATCATTCATAAAATCTCTCCTCGTTTGCCATGCGTTGTATCAACAAATTTGTCCAACAGCAAGTCCCTACTGCAGTCCTTGAAACCAAAATATAACGAAAAAATACCAATCACTTTGGCAATTTGTTCAGATTCTGGAAATGACGATCATGACTTGGCTTCTATTTTTGACATATTAAGATACATTATAACAATTAAAATGCAAGGCACACCTGAAGGTATGTAAGTTATAGAGACTAAATGTTAGTATAACAAATACATGCAAATGCATTTAAATGAGATAGGTTTAATTTTTAAGGAGTAAAGGCTGGAATTCCATAGAAGCTTAGCATGTTTATTTATCGCATCAACATTAGATCTGTCTGACCAACGGGCCGGTTTCACAAAGCGTTTCAGTAACCCATGCTTGGCGTATGCTCATCGTATCCCAGTTGCGTAGATCGATGCTCATGCTGTTGATCACCGGATTGTCTAGTCCAGACTCTAAAACAAGAAACTAACATTATAGAGAACATTCTGATCAATGTGACTAACATCCTTTGTCTTGATTCACATCGCTAGTAGGTTGTATGTCTGAAATCACATGGACAATGCGATTCAGAAAGAGGGAGCCGTGTATTTATGCCATCAATCTTTCATCTCAGGACTTCGAGAAGGATGAACATTTTGAAATCGAACTGACCGATGTCGTTCCTGACGGCGCTAGAATCGGAAGATTGAAGCGGACTGTTGTGACCATCATGAACGACGATGGTCAGTTCTCTCACATACTGCTTCAGTTCAAAATTAATGACACCAAATAAACAATAAATACCTTTACTGTAATAGAGAATTAGTAGTGTTAAATCCTGTCTTAAGACTAACGGCGCTTCGGTCCGTCCTCTAGATCTATTGTGTCTTTTTGCATTGATAGCAAATATTTAGCCAGGGAATCGTTTGGAGGTTGGCATAGTTCATTACTTGTAACTCTTCTATAGTTAAACTGTTTTACTAGTTTTAAATGTATAACTGTTATAATATAACATATGATATATTTAGGAATACACTTGCTCAGTGAAATACAGATTCTGGGGTGGGGAAGTCCCATTCATTCATGTTACACTTGACCATTGTGTATTCATGATTTGGTCTCAAAGTCCAGACATGTTGAAAAATATACCAATATACGAAACGCCAGAGACAGAGATACATCAGAGACATTATCAGTCGACATCCGTCCGTACCTCATAATACGACTACTTGATCTAAGGGAGATAATTTATAAGATTGATTGGATCACAGGCTAATTGTAGCGCAAATAGGGTTGCGCATCAAAGAGAAAATGACCAGTCTTCCCATATGCGAGCGAATGGAAAGACTGGTAATTTTTCTTTGTTGCGCACCCTATTTGCGCTACAATTTGCCTGTGATTGGATCTTCACTGGTTTCTTTTTAAGAAACACGACTTAATGCAGGTATCTCCTTATATAACGGGGCGGTGGGGTAGCCTAGTGGTTAAAGCGTTCACTCGTCACGCCGAAGACCCAAGTTCGATTCCCCATATGGGTACAATGTGTGAAGCCCATTTCCGGTGTCCCCGCCGTGATATTGCTGGAATATTGCTAAAAGCGGCGTTAAACCATACTCACTCACTCCTTATATAACACCCTCGATTAAACCACTAGGGAAAGTTATGTCCATTGTTCTTGGAAGTGTTTTATCAGCATAACTGAATAACTGCCCTAGGGCAATTATTTCTGTTTAAAAACAATAAAATTGTACTCATTTTGATAATCTTCATCATGCCTATAGTCCGTTTGGCTCAAAAGCGGACCGATGAATTGCAATCTAACTCGAAAACTAATAAACATAACATACTCAATGAAACGCTGATCATAATCAAAACATCATACCCACTCTGGAGGTTTTGCAGAATGTTTGTCCTAAAAATAATAAAGTTGTTTAACAAACTATCATTAAAATATTGACACAGTTCACTGTTTGTTACGAGGGAGGAGTGCAGAGAAAGGGACAGCCAGGTGTTCGAGAAGCACGTTCACAGACAAAGTTATTTATTCATTAACCTGTGCTGTGCCGTCTCCATCCTGGCGCCTTAGTGATAACTCCGGTTTATCTCGTGAAGCTTTGGAAGGGGTTTGAACACGTGTTCAGAAGGGTTATTTTGATTGGGTGGTGATATGAAGCCCGTGAGCGAGAGACCTTCTGTGCTGAGCAATACCTAAAAGAGTCACATTAAGTATCCTCACATCGTTTTCAGATTTGTAGATTAATGTTGGTTATTACATTTCACGATTACACATGTAACCCGACTGGAGTGTAACATTATCCCTTTATTTTAAACAGAGTTCACCGGAGTTGTGTCACGTGTTGTTAACTTGACGAACGCCAACCTGGACTCGCTCAAAGTGTCGACGACGACGTGGGGGCAGCAGTTTGAAGAAGCCATGAATGTCAATGGCGGGGACGTCGAAAACGCCACCATCTTCGACTATGTCATGCATTTCGTAACATTTGGCTTCAAGGTATTATTTATTGAATGGGGAAGGGGTAGGGCAGTGGTCAAAGTGTAAGCTCATCGAGTCGAAGTCCTGGGTTCGATTCACACACGTGTACAATGCGTGAAACCATGTGAGGATACTTTCCTCTAGGTAATACTGCTAGAGGATTGCCAAAAGCAGCGTAAAACCATATTCACTGTTACGTGTCTGGTTTTGTTTTTTTCATCGTTTGTGTCCTATGTTCTGGCAGAGACCATATACTAGTGGTCCGATTAATTGAAATAGTCGATGATTGGTCGCAATGACTACACGACCAAGCAATCGATCATGTTTTCTCATAATCGAACACAAACAATTCTGGAACGCTTATTTGCATTAACAATATTTTTGGTTTTGTCTGTAACATTCATAAGCACTGCAAGCTCATTCCAAGTCATGATTGAATTTGATATTTATCTTAAAGACTCCAGGAAATTATGTTCCTAACATACTAGTCATCCTTTAAAGATTTGAAATTTGCAAATGCATTTTGTGCAATTTGCAGAAAAAAACCTAAAGAACTACATGTTTTTTTTCTAGATTTTTGTGCATTAACAAACACAGTCAGGAAGATTTGATAAATGACGCTACCCAATTATTTTCGATGATTGATCGGTTGTAATGAACCAGTAATCAATTATGAGATTTAAACTAATTCCCAACACTACCATATACCGATATATGGTCTCTGGTTCTGAGTCCCCACGAATGAGTGAGTGAATGATTTCAGCGAAAACACAGTATATCGCGTGATTTCGTAAATAATGTAGTTTCGGCGGACAAACCAGTGAGATGATAGGGGCGTTGGGGTAACCTCGTGCTTAAAACGTTAGCTCGTCACGTCGAAGACCCGGGTTCGATTCCCCACATGGGTTCAATATGTGAAGCCCATTTCTGGTGTCCCCCGCCGTGATATTGCTGGAATATTGCTAAAAGCGGCGTAAAACCATACTCACTCACTCGTCATCCTCGATATGTCGTGTTCCAGGTGATATTCGCCTGCATCCCTCCCCCGTCCATCTGGAGCGGCTGGCTGTGTTTCTTCGTCTCTCTTGGCGCCATCGGTGTTCTGACGGCCATTGTTGGTGACCTTGCCGCCCTGTTCGGCTGCCTGGTAGGGCTGAAGGACACCGTCACTGCCATTACGTTTGTCGCTCTCGGAACAAGCTTGCCGGATCTGTTCGCCAGTAAACAAGCTGCTGTGCAGGAGGAGACTGCCGACAACTCCATTGGGAACGTCACCGGTAGCAACTCCGTCAACGTTTTCCTCGGCCTTGGCCTTTCCTGGCTGATCGCTGCCGTGTATTGGACGTCACAGGTAACGTATTTACAACTGTTACGTTGATTCCCAGCTTGAGGCTAAAAGTTAACTGGAAATCAGTCTGTAAAAAACAAACAGCAAAGAAATATGCTGCAATTAACAATTGTGTTCTGAAATAAACTACAGTCACAAATCATTTTGGCAGGCAGAATAGAGTGGCAGTAAACATGTGAAAAATCAGTCGTTATAGTAATAACGACAGTGGTGGTAATATGCACCTCCCTGTAATGGTGGCCTTGGCTGAGTGTCCAGGATGAACAATGATCTTCACCTAGTCTGTTTGGAGTGAAAACGTACCGATGCTAAACCAAAAAGTAAAACAAATACAGTGAAAATGCGAATCCTCATGATTTTACCTTGCCAATTGAACATTTAAATCTCAGAATTTTATTCGACTTCGGATAAAAGTTGTTTCACAAACGGCATGAGTGTCCAGGGCACATCAAATGAAACACCGAACAGTTATGATCTTCACCTAACTGCTTGTCTTCGTTTGTTTGACGTTGGATGGACTATAACTGCTGGTCTTCTTTGGAATGTGCAATTACTGAGGCCAAATCGAGCTCCTTTTACTCGAACCTTCCACCATAGTCAAGACTAGAATGTGGTGGTCTATAAATCTAAAAACAGCACACTACTGCCCTCAACTCAATGTCAAGACAATCAAAGTTATGCGCCTTGAAACACTGTTACTATACACAATATATAACACTACCACATAACAGATGTATTTAGCCACATAAATATCTGATCAGGACATGAGGATAAACGGGAAAGGATATTCTGAAGTATTGCAGTGTGTTGTCTCCCTTAGTTGTGGCAGAATCAGCTCATGATCTAGTCTCAACATCGCTACTACATGTATTTGACCCTTTACCTGTAAGCACCACACCTTTTCCATAGGTTTCATAAAGATGGTTAACGTCCAAGACACCATTTTGTCTCCTCTACGCAGATCAGTTTCATGTCATTTATATCTCTATAAAAGTCTATTAATTAATGAGGGAGGCGTAGAGTCAACATCCCACAAACGAAATAACAACTCATTATTGGTTCGATCCATTTCAAAACCTTGCAACCTCAAATTGTATTACGTATATCATACAGTCAACAAGGACGACCCTAACTAAACCTATAATTAGAACGCTGATAACAAGCCAGGAACACACCTCTGTGGATCCCAGACCCACATTGGACCCGTATGAATCATGATTCACTTGCAGGGATAGGAATGCAATTCTTTCGAAGGGTACCACAGAGCACCAGACAGACAGTTTAGGTGTGCCCTCGTGAAAATCAGTGATGATGCAATAAAATAATAACAGTAAACATAATGAAATCTGTAGACTTGAGAGCTGGATTTCCTGAACAGCACCATGACTACACATTCAAATGGTCACGCCCATGTTAAGCTGTAAGATTGATAGTACCGGCGATATAAATAGTTTTGATAATTTGAATTGTCAAATATATCGGATTTTCCTTTAAATGGCTTATAGTGTGTATTATTTTTATAATTTTAGGCGTGCCGTCAAGGCACATTGAAAATATTTAAGCACTGTTTCGATCCCTGACGTATCATGGCAACGTGTAACCAAACAAATGACATTATTGTTGATTATTCAGGGCAAGACATTCGAGGTACCAGCAGGTTCTCTGAGCTTCAGCGTCACCTTGTACACCATCTGTGCTGTTCTGGCCCTGGGACTTTTGGTCATCCGTAGGCTTGTCGCCAAATTCGGTAAAGCGGAGCTGGGCGGAAGTAAGATTCCCAAGATTATGTGCGCTGTGTTCCTCGTGTTCCTGTGGGTTTTCTACGTCATCATGTCGTCCCTGCAGGCGTATGGGCACATCCAAGCCTTCTAGAGCACGGGTCGAGAAGCGCCAGGTGCTTTTGGCAAGTCGCAACAAATGGGCATGTTGACACCCAAAGAAGGTTTCCAATACCGAACATATATCTAAAATACTGAGAGAAATGTATACTATTCACAATTTGCTTAGGATCAAATCATTGATTCAACAGAAAACTATGATGTGTCATATTTGGTTTAAATATCTAAGCCTTTTTAAGCATGGATCCTAGGTTTCAGTATGTCATTGCATCTTGTGGATCCCATACCTGCTATTGACAGGTGCTGTGTACTTGTCAATGACTCGTTCCATGATTTGCAAAATGGTTGATTGGTGCCATGAAAACCATTTTTAAGGTTACTCATGTATCGTGTACATACGGTTAGCTTAAAGTAGCTGTTTTCCTAAAGATGTGTTACCATATCATTATTTATCCAGTTTTAAATGGATACAATTTCAAATTATAAATCTACGTTTAAGTAAAGTTGCGAATTTTTGTGATCCTAAGCAAAGTGTGAGTAGTATAAATGTTATGTGTAATCTTGTTGAAGCGGAATGAAAATGCCCTCATCAAGATTCTGATTGTGGTAATTTGGTATGATGTATTTTTTCCACCTTGATTTCAAGTCCAGGAAGTAATGAGTAATGACCTCAACGTCTAACAGTTAAACTATGAACTGGTTCTGTCATTGCGGGCTGTGATTTCATTCTTGCATTTGTTTGGTTTTGTCCTTTATTTATTTCAATGTTATTTTTTTATTAATTATAAACATCCACAGGGTATGGCCGTTTTTAGTTCACAATACAGCACAGTATTTACTAAATCTTGTCAGTATTCAGCTTCATTTTGAATTACAGCAAACAGATTTCTCAGCTGCATGTGATTCGCTAATGTTCATATTGTCAGGTGACAACTCTTCCGATTTGTTGACATTTTGGTTCAAGACCTCAATCAGCACCCATTACTGCAACGCCAAGCACTTGTATATTTCATAGTTTCAGCTATAGAGTTGTTAAGTGGTTCAAAACAGGCGAATTGTAGACATAGTCTTGCTGAAGGGAAGAAAACCCGGCAAAGTCCAGACCTCGGTTATCCGAACACCCGCTTTTCCGGACGCTTACACTGCAGGTAGGTAAACTACAAAATGATTACCTATGTTTAATTACAAACTTAAATAAACAAGAGAGAAATTCTTATTGGATGTAGATGTATTTGATACGGGTAGTATAACTGTATTTTGTGGATCTTAATTTTGGAGTGTTTAGGCTTTGATAACGTTTGTGCTTTGAGGTGCAAATACAATTGTCAAATGAAAACATGAATACGCCCGGACAAAAGATATTTCACTGTGTAAATGAATTAAGGAAAGGACTACGGTCTATATGTTCGTTACCGGTTGGATTTCACAGAAATCGTCCCGCAACACTTATCCCTGATTCCCGCCAAAACATGTGTTTGACATTTGGTTGTGTTGCTTGTATTTCAGTAATAAATCTCAAAAGTAAATAACTCGAAATGTTTTAGTTAATATTTTGAACGTTTTCATAAAATAATGTCTTTGATTTGGATTAATAATCGATTATTTCATAATTTAAAAATAAATCTTGACATTTGATTTGAAGAGTATTTCTGTAGTAGGTAATGATTGTAATAAAAGTGGGCATAACGGTATAATATGTGAGAAAAAAATGTGAGCCAATTGAAATGTTTGGTGTAATTGTTGGACTGTGTGTTTCACTATGGTGAAAGTATATTCGTAAGGTATATTCCTTTTTTATTTTAGGGCTGTGTGCTAGTTTCGTATCTTCACAAGTCGTTGTGTGCTCGTAGTTGAAAGGTTAGATAAATATACTGCTAAATAATGTTACATAATAATCATATTTTCCAGTAAACTGTTATTAATTCTTGGATTTAAAGATGTTTAAACTGCTGATGGCTTCCTGCAACGCTATTTGTGTTAGCGGACCCTTTATCATGTTATATTTGTTACGTTATGTGTTTTGATACCAAAGAATCTCAATATAATTGTTACGAATATCGAGATCAGCTGCTCATGTTAGTTATTTTCGTATTTGCTATATATATATATATTTATATAATGTCGTGCTAGTAATTGCCACATGTTGATGATTATATAATTATATATAACAGACTATTGTATATTGCAGAACTTGTTGCTGTGTTTATCGTCTTACCTCGTCTAATGAGGGCATTAATTTTGGTATTTTCACTTAGACAGTTGTTTTCTTGGAATGCTAAAGGTCAAGGTCAAGGTCAAGGTCAAGGTAAATCAATGTTGGAAGGGCATTGCAGAAAATGGCTATTTTGTTACGAATGACGCATATTGTATATACCACGATGGTTTAAATACATATTCAACTGAGGTGATGTCTTGAATAACGACATTGTGGACATTTTACTTTAGTCTCGTGGAAGTGTAGAACGTAAATGTGTGTGTGTTGTTTAAAGCCGCACTCAACAATATTCCAGGCATATGACGGCGGCTGACCAGACAATCCAGTGATTGATATGCCATATCAATGGACAAACTGTCTGGGTAGGTTGAGTCGCTATCAACATAGCTACCAAGCCTGACTACCCGATCCATAAGTTGTCTCACATTGCTGGAACCAATATCCCCACAATGGAGAGCGTAAATAAATAATGTCGTCTGTTTTGAAATGATCTGAATGGTATATGAATATCCCCTTTTTCAAATGTTATCCTGTCTTCGATCACGGGTCACAAGGGTAGACAAACTGGAACGGCAAACCTCAAACATTCCAAATGCATTCCGGAAATATCAAAGGCCAAGGTCAAGACCTTGACCTCAGCAATTTGACCCTTTATCAATGCATACGCCCGACTCCATTCGTCACCACTCGCCCCTTTCCGTAACCTCCAAGAAGACGGCTTGTCCCGGAATAACACGAGTTGGTCACGAATGCCCCGACTCGAGTGCTACCCGAGGTACTGTAAACGTACTTATTTTCGCGTTGTGCAATTTTCGCGGAATTGACAGTTTAGACTACATCGCGCGGTCAATTATTCGCGCAATCAGTAATTGCCGGAACTGCCAGCTGTCTCTTTGGCCGCCACTAATAGCAGTGAAAACAAACAGAGTGGCTTAACCTGTCAGGCGGCGTTTATTGCTTACTCACAGGAAATCTCTATCTGTGCGATATACTAGTACACAGTAATCCGTTTACTCCCGGATAATAAAACCTGCGCGAAATATAATACGTTTACAGTATTATGCAGTTAGCGGAATAAACCGATTGATTCCGAGCGCTTTAGACCGAAGACACCAGGATATAAAATTCCCCTGGGAAGTTTTCTCAAGACGTGTAGTAAGGTACAAAATTCAATACACACATACGTTATTATAATATATGTAGCCACCCACTCAGTATTTTTCTACTCATTATAATGTATGATATATAATCATGTAAACATTACTTCATGATGCCGTCCTTGCATGCTGTCTGTTGGTGAAGGCAGCATCCCCCTGCCGCTCCTGTCTGTGAGTGCCACTCCTGCCTGTGATATCGGACACCTGTTCCTTGTCCACCTGTCTGCCGACATTCTACCTGTACACTTCTTCACGGAATATACACTCGTGTGTTAAACTTGACATACTGTAAAATAGAATATGTAAATATCAATATAAAGTATCTTCTTCACATATTGTTGTGTTATTTATGTTAGCGTGTTTAAATATTATAGATATACTGACGTACAAAAGAAAGTATGCACCTGGTGCACACTTTATTAACTGGACTGTTATAATCAATGCCCAACAGGTAATAGCCAGGAGATTAGTGGTGCAGTGGACCATAACTCTGTTGTTTTATGCTGTAGAAGTTTTGGGAGGACATCCACTTGGTGCTTTGGGATGTTTACGATGTTTTGATTGTGATTTTGTTGTATCGTTTGTACATGATATGTATCAAAATAGTTTCGTTGTTATTTAAAAAAATAACTCCGGGTGAGTACTCTCTTTAGTACGTCAGTATATTTTTGTTATTTATATGTGACAATTATCAACACTACAAATCACAAAATAGTGATAGTGCAATGCCAGTTTGGGGAATGTCCCTGCAATACCATAGCGGAAAAAAACATGACACATTGCATCCTCGATATTCTCCAGGGTATACGTTCCGATAAATCTTCTCTATAGTGGATGGACACATTGTTCCTACTTGGGAATCGAACCTGTTCGGTGTGACGAGCTTTATGCCGCTTAGCTAACCCACCGCCCCGTTTTCTTGGTAGGCGTGATCACAAAAATTTCGGTGGTGGGTTATTTAAATATAATATCACATTTGTTCATTGACTGAATTGAAATTACCACACAAGCAGTTTTTTCTGCACGTTTTAGGATACCAAATTTTCTGATGATCGTACGACACATATTATGTGACTTATTTGGTGAGTAACTCTATGCCTTTTCTACTGAACAACACAATTATAATTCTCAGTAAATGCCGTTTTGTGTGTTCTTCAAACTTAAAATGAAGATATATTACCAATATAGCTGATGAATGTCATCACCGATTATGTGGCACATACGGTGGAGGAGTTGATATAAAAGGTGCACAAGTTTCCCGAAGTGAGATAGTTCATAGCTGCAGACGAATCATACACTTTAGACAATGTACTGTCTGTTTGAAACTAGTGAATAATTACGTATAAAACATGGTCACAAATGGATATCAAGGTCTGTAATATTCGAGGTTGGGTTATTTGGAAGCGTACGTATAATTCCAAATCCTTTGCCCGTTCCAAAGTCAAGAGAGACATTGAAACCTTTGCGGACACTGGCACTTTAGGTAAACGCCCTCTGGTGGCGAGATCAAACGCGATGATATTATCACGATTGGCGGATCCGTGATCCAATCATAACAAAGGCCATAGACAAAAACAACGTTTTATCTTATCACAATAGGATAAAATGAGGGTTGTGCTTCTAGTGAAACTTCTTTAAGGTAATATTGGGGTGGAAATAGCCGACGTAAATCCTTAAACGACTGGCTGGATTTGTCTGTTGAAAACAGACAGTCATTGATCCTCGTTATGTAATTATAGGTGAAAATAGTACAAACAAAAGTTAAATGTCAACGGATGCTATTTGGAAGTAGACTCAGGCAGGGCTGTGGTACCTCAGGGAATTGTCAGTTATTATTTGGGG